GTTGCCCGCAGGCGGCGTCTTGCGCTTGCCATGCGGCCGGCGCGGCGGCCTGGCGGGCGCCACGCGCAGCACCAGGTCCTTCTTGATTGGCTCCACGTGCTCCGGCACCAGACCGCAGTCGAACTCTTGACCGGCGGCGTCGAGCAGCAGCACGCTCTGCCCGGCGTCCGACGTGCACATCCACACTTCCCGGACCTCGCGCGACGACCATTGGCCGTTGGGGGACGCCCAGGCCGGCATCATGCAGACGATCCCCAGGATGCAATCGGCATCGAGCCCACGCAGCACTTCGGCCAGGTCATAGTCCCAGGCGATGCAAATGGTGCGGGTCATGCTGCAGTCGCGGATGTCGGCATCGAGGACCTCCACCGACAGCAGGAACCAGGGAGCGTGCAAGGTCAACTCGACCATGCGCCAGTGCTGGGAGCCGGGCTGCTCCAGGCCAGGCGGAAACGGGAACTCGTACTGCGGCTGTGACACGAACATTGGTTGCGAGGCCGCGAACAGCTGGAGGTCCAGCGGCCTGATTGTTGAACTCCAATCAATTGTTCGGGCCTGCCGGCCATATCAAAATTCTTGATATGGCGCCGGCTCGGATACGGTGCGAGGCTGAGAACCATCGCGTCCATGTCCAAAGCCCTGCACAGTCGCCACAACAAGATCTTCCTGGACAAGTTGCGCAAGCTGCGAGAGTCCCGCCAGCTGCGCCAAGCCGACCTTTGCAAGTTGCTCGGCCGCAGCCAGGGCTGGGTCAGCTACGTCGAATCCGGCCAAACAACCCTGCACATCATCGAGCTGCGGCAATGGCTTGCCGCGTTGGGTGTCGAGTTCCTGGAGTTCCTCAACGAGCTGGATGCGGAGCTGCGGCTGCTCGAAGCCATGCGCCTTCGGGCCAAGCCCCCCCACCGGCTCGCGCGCAGCGCGCTGAGCCAGATCGTGCAGGCAGGCCTCTCGATGGATCCGGTCTCGGCCGCGCCTGTACCGGCGGCCAAGCCCGCCAAACGACAGGTGCGTCGATGACGACGCCGGACGAGAGAAGGCGCAACCTGATCTGGGGACGGGAGGCGCTGGAAGAGCTATCGGCGGACGCGACATTGCGCCAACACTGGCGTGACGAGTCGACCGAGTTGCTCGGCCGCTACCCATCAGTGGCCGCGCTCAAGGACTGCAGCGAATCCGGCTTGGAGCCGCTCCAGATCCAGTACGCCCAGGTGTTGTCAGCCAGCAAGGACTTGTTCCAGCGCATGCGCGCCAGCCCGGCCTGCTCAGAACAGCGCAGGTACAGCTTGCTGGTGATCCTGCGGCACTTCTACTGAAGGGCGCTTGCTTCCAAGCGCCGGCCGAACTCCTCGAGCGTCGATCCGCAGGCGAAGGCCCAGCGCTGCAACTCCAACACCCCCACGCGCCGGGTGCCAGCTTCGCCGTGCGTCACAGCGCTCTCCTTGACGCCCAGGCGCTCGGCCAGCTGCAGTGGGCTCAGTCCGGCCTGCGTGCGCATCCGGATCAGCTCCTGGAGAAATGCGGCGTGGGCCGGGCTCGACCCCGCCCGGGTAGTCACCCCGCAGGCCGGCGGCGGTCACGCCGGCCGAGGCGCAGATCTTCGAAGGAGGCAATTTCTTCCTTCACGCCAGCGAGCAGGCGTTCGACCTCGGCCGACGACCCTTTGCCACAAAACGCCAGCGTGAGCAGTGTTAACGGATGAGTGCCCATGACCTGGGCCAACTGGACGATCTTGGACAGCGTGGGATCCGCGCCGTCGTTCTCCAGACGGCTGATGTACGTCCGCCCGGACACCTCGTAGAAGTCTTCCTGGGAGAGGTCGCGCTCCAGCCTCACGGCGCGCAGCGCCTTGGCGAAGTTGGGAGCGGAAGCCTTGGTACTCATTGCGGGCGTCAAACGGCCCGCATTGGCTCATTGCGTACCTTAAAGGACTACACCTGATAAGGTGCGTTCGCTAGGCTTCGCCGGGTCAGCGAGCCACGCCCGGACGGCATGGCAGGCACCGTAGCAGCCGGCCAGTAGGCGGCCACTGGCAACTCTGGCAGGTTGTGCCAGACGATCGATCCCGGCCGACCTGCAGGCCCCTCGGGATGGAGTTGGTCTGCGACCTCTACGGCGTGCCTTCGCTGGTGGCGCTGCTGAGCAACGACGTCCTTGGCCAACGGCGCATGCCGGCCCGTCTGCAGGGCTTGCGCAGTCGCTACGGAAGCGTCGCCGCGGGCAGATACCTGCCCGGGTTGGCGACGCCGACGGCCGCCACTACGCGCTGACCCGCCCGACCCGGGGTATCGATCAGGCTTCACTGCAGTTGGGCCAGCGCATCATCTGCACGGTCACGAAACGATGGGGTTTCTTCCTGTCGGCGACCACTACCGGCCGACCCACCGACAGCCTGCCCGCCTAGGTCAGCAACGCCGTCAGCTCGATACCGATGTCCGTTCGCGTGCGCGCGACGAAGGCCAATGCCGGTACGAGGACATCCTTGAAGGTCACCTGACGATAGGGCGTACCCCTGCGCTCGAACTCGCCGAAGAAAAAGAGCAGCGGGTCAGCGCGCGTCCCCGTCTGGTCCTGGCTGATCCAAGGCCGCACGATGGCGCTGTGCTTGGCCTTGTTGGACAGCGCGTCGACATGCGCAAAGCTGTTGTCAGTCTGAAGGCTCTGCAGCAGCGACATGACCTTCACATACGTTGGGTCCTGCCCAAGTCGGGTCACTGTCTTTTGCAGGCTCAGTTGATGCTCATCCAGCACGGCGCCGAGCGTGTCGAGGTTGAGGCACCGGTAGACCATGGCGGAGAGCAGGTCTTCCAATGCGTGGATGGATTGCACACAGGCCACGGCATGGGCGCCGACACGATCCATGAATTCGTAGTAGTCGTGCTCTTCCTGTTCGTCATCGGCGCCGTGCGATACCTCGAACAGATGCCGGTCGCCCAGCTTCGTCTGAAAGGCGTTGAGTTCAGCCTCGATCGTCGCGTAGTGGAACGCGGCGTACCGGACGCGCTGGTTGACGGAGCTGACGCACACGTAGGCAGCGTCGCGCTGCTTGCGGCCGAACTGCTTCTGGACAAGGTCCAGGGTGGCTTGTGTATCCCAGATCATGTCGACCGACCCCTCAGCGTTGAATGGGCATGCGCCGGTTCGTGGCGCTGATGTCGCGCAGCTTGCCGGATCTGCGCAACGCGCTGAAGGCAGAGCCTCCGGCTAGGGACTCAGCGTCGCCTCGTCGGCCCGTTCAGCCAGCATGCTGATCAGCCCGAGGTACTGCAAGGCTCGGTCTTCAGAACCTGTGGGAAATGCGTGGCCACCTGGATTGCGAAGCGCCATGATGACGCCCTCATAGAGGTGCATCATCCCCTCTTGCTCATCCCCGTCGGTGGGGCTGGCCTGCGCGTTGAAGCGAAGGATGGGCGTGTTCTTTGAGAATACCTGGCGCATGAGCGGCACGCCGTCCAGGTCATGCCGGCCAGACCGGTCCTTGACGTGGAGGATCAGGGCCTTGCAGGCCGCAAAGACGGCCTCCCAAGGGTGACCATTCACCACCAGATCACCGACGGCAGCGGCGATCTTTGGATGCAAAGCGGGGGAAGGGACGACGGTGCGGTTGGCCAGCAGCCGCAGCTTGCGCTGCAGGCGTTGGATGAGTTCGCTCGCCACCGCCACCATGTGGTCGCGGCCGCGTATCCGCGCTTGGTGAAGCTCGTGGGGAGTGATGCCAACACGCAGGGGGCCGCCAAACATTTCCAGCGTGCCGTACTCGCGGTACTCCTGCGAGTTGCTGCCGAAGATCTCGCTGATGGCGTTGCGGAAGCTTGAGACCACAACCTTGAGCCGGACACCGTCCTTTTGCATCTCGGCATCGAGGCTCTTGTGCTGCAGCACCTCGATCTGCTCCATCAACAAGCTGATGCCCTCATTGAGCTGCTGCTCAGTTCGCGCCCCATCGGTCGTCATGGCTCTCCCCTGGATTTTTGTTTGCATGCCGCGCGGCGATGCACGCGAATGGTCGCCGATTCCGGGCCTGCCATGGGCGGACGTTGGGGTTTGGGGCGTTTCGTGGGCTTCCGGCGCGGCCCAAGCGCCTTTCTGTGGCTCGGATTGAATAATCCGATATTAAGCAATGTCAGAAAACGGACGATTTGGCGCCCTTGACGCGCGTTTCGTATTACGTACCATCCATGTTACGTAACACGTACGAAATTGGTGGCAGACATGGCGAGACCCGGAATCACGAAGGGGCAGGTACAGCGGGCGCGGCTTGCATTGATCAAGGCCGGCAAGCACCCGTCCATAGACGGAATCCGGATCGAACTGGGCAACACGGGGTCCAAGGCGACGATCTCTTCCTACCTCAAGGAAATCGAAGCTGACGAGGGCGGCGTCGCAACACCAGAGCGTTCCGTCAGCGAGGAGTTGCAG